ATTTTCCAGGTGTATATAATCATGTATCTCTCCCTCCTGCGTTCCAGGGAATACAGGTTTAGGAACCTCAAGCGCTCCCAATAATTGAGGTGTTTTATCTCCGTTATGCGCGCCGTGAAAGTTCTCTGTACATTTTCTAGGTCGGCAATTTCACCTGCCTTGAAAGGTGCTGTTAGTGTGCAGCAATATTCCAGCCTAGATAGAACAAGTGACCCGAAGAGTGTCACCATGGGCTTGGCCTCCCTAGTTTTGAAGGTTCTCATTATCCATCCTGTCATTTTTCTAGCAGATGCGATTGCATACAATGTTATGGTCCTTGAAGGTGAGATCCTCCGACATGATCACTCCCAGGTCTTTGACGTTGGTGTTTCGCTCTATTTTGTGGCCAGAATTTGTTTTGTACTCTGATGAAGATTTAATTTCCTCATGTTTACCATATCTGAGTAATTGAAATTTCTCATCGTTGAACTTCATATTGTTTTCTGCAGCCCACTGAAAGATTTGGTTGATGTCTGCCTGGAGCTTTGCAGTGTCTGCAATGGAAGACACTGTCATGCAGATTCGGGTGTCATCTGCAAAGGAAGACACGGTGCTGTGGCTGACATCCTTGTCTATGTCGGATATAAGGATGAGGAACAAGATGGGAGCGAGTACTGTGCCTTGTGGAACAGAGCTTTTCACCGTAGCTGCCTCGGACTTTACTCTGTTGACGACTACTCTCTGTGTTCTGTTAGTGAGGAAATTATAGATCCATCGACCGACTTTTCCTGTTATTCCTTTAGCACGCATTTTGTGCGCTATTACGCCATGGTCACACTTGTCGAAGGCTTTTGCAAAGTCTGTATATATTACATCTGCATTCTTTTTGTCTTCTAGTGCATTTAGGACCTTGTCGTAGTGGTCCAATAGTTGAGACAGACAGGAGCGACCTGTTCTAAACCATGTTGCCCTGGGTTGTGTAACTGATGGGTTTCTAGATGGGTGGTGATCTTGCTTCTTCGGACCCTTTCAAAGATTTTTATGATATGGGATGTTAGTGCTATTGGTCTGTAGTTCTTTGCTGTTGCTTTACTGCCCCCTTTGTGGAGTGGGGCTATGTCTGTTGTTTTTAGTAACTGTGGGACGACCCCCGTGTCCATGCTCCCTCTCCATAGGATGGAAAAGGCTCGTGATAGGGGCTTCTTGCAGTTCTTGATGAACACAGAGTTCCATGAGTCTGGCCCTGGGGCAGAGTGCATGGGCATGTCATTTATCACCTGTTCGAAGTCATTTGGCGTCAGGATAACATCGGATAGGCTTGTGTTAATCAAATTTTGTGGCTCTCTCATAAAAAATTCATTTTGATCTTCGACTCTCAGTCTGGTTAGCGGCTTGCTAAAGCATACAATCGGAATATTTCGTATTATTACAGTGTTTTCGGTGCTTTTTCTGGAAAATAAGTGACCATGGGCCCCAAGAAAGCTTCTAGTGCCAACCCTACAGCAATAAGGGTGAGAATTCCAATAGAGATGAAGAAAGAGATCATTGATAAGTATGAAAGTGGAGTGCGTATCGCCGACCTGGTCAGGTTGTACAAGAAACCCAATCAACCATCGCTACTATTGTGGGCACCAGAAAGGCAATCAAGGAAGCTGTTTTGCCAAAGGTTTAACTGTGTTTTCGAAACAAAGATCGCAAGTGATGGAAGATGTTGAGAGACTCTTATTGGTGTGGATAAATGAAAAGCAGCTAGCAGGAGATCGTGTCTCTCAAGCGATCATAAGCGAAAAGGCTAGGAAGTTGCATGAGGATTTAATTAAAAAATGCCTGTAACTAGTGCTGATGTGAGTGAATTTAAGGCCAGCAAAGGTTGGTTTGAGAGATTTAAGAAGCGTAGTGGCATACATAGTGTGATAAGGCATGGTGAGGCTGCCAGTTCGGACCACAAAGAGGCTGAAAAATATGTGCATGAATTCAAGGAGTACATAGAGACTGAAGGACTGAAACCTGAACAAGTGTTTAATTGTGATGAAACAGGCCTGTTTTGGAAGAAAATGCCAAGCAGGACCTACATTACTCTGGAGGAAAAGGCACTCCCAGGACATAAGCCTATGAAAGACAGGCTTACTTTGTTGATGTGTTCCAATGCTACTGGTGATTGCAAAGTTAAGCCTTTATTAGTGTATCACTCTGAAACTCCCAGACGTTCAGGCAAAAGAATGTCCTCAAGGAGAATTTGTGTGTGCTGTGGAGGGCAAACAGTAAGGCATGGGTCACTAGGGACTTTTTCTATGACTGGTTACACCATGCATTTGCCCCCAATGTGAAAGATTACCTAACTGAAAAGAAATTAGAACTTAAGTGCCTCCTGGTGTTAGACAATGCCCCTGGTCATCCTACAGACGTGGCAGAGCGACTTTATGGGGACATGAAATTCATTAACATCAAGTTTTTGCCTCCTAATACCACTCCTCTCCTGCAGCCCATGGACCAGCAGGTTATTGCAAACTTCAAAAAACTGTACACAAAAGCTCTGTTTGAAAGGTGCTTTGTAGTGACCTCAGAAACTCAACTGACTCTAAGAGAGTTTTGGAGAGAGCACTTTAATATCCTCAATTGTGCAAACCTTATAGGTAAGGCTTGGGAGGGAGTGACTAAGAAGACCTTGAACTCTGCTTGGAAGAAACTGTGACCAGAATGTGTAGACAAAAGGGATTTTGAAGGGTTTGAGGCTAACCCTGAGAGGATTATGCCAGTTGAGGAATCCATTGTGGCATTGGGAAAGTCCTTGGGGTTGGAGGTTAGTGGGGAGGATGTGGAAGAGTTGGTGGAGGAGGACAATGAAGAACTAACCACTGATGAGCTGATAGATCAACTTCAACAGCAAGAGGCCAGACCTGAGGAAACTGGTTCAGAGGAGGGGAGAGAGAAATTGAAGAAGTTGCCTACTACAAAGATTAAGGAAATGTGTGCAAAGTGGCTTGAAGTGCAAACCTTTTTTGATGAAAATCACCCTCACACAGCTATTGCAAGCCGTGTTGGAAACCTGTACACTGACAATGTTTTTGAAACACTTTAGGGAAGTCATAAAGGAACGAGGGGTTTACAGGCCACTATGGACAGATATGTTGTGCGAAAGAAGTCCAGTGACTCTGAAGCTGGTCCTAGTGGCATTAAAAGAAGAAGGGAAGTAACCCCAGAAAAGGACTCAACACCTCAAGTCTTAATGGAAGGGGTTTCCCCCTTCTAAACACTAACACTCTCTCTCCCCTCCTCTCCATCCCATCAATCATCACCAGATCTTCAATAAAAGTAAGTGTCATGTAATTGTGCATGCCTTTTTCAGTTTGTGTGTATTAAAATTAACATTTCATGTGGTAAAATTTTTTTTTTTCATACTTTTGGGTGTCTTGCACGGATTAATTTGATTTCCATTATTTCTTATGGGGAAAATTCATTCGCATACCGATTATTTCGCATAACAATGACCCCTCTTGCACGGATTAAAATCGGTATGCGGGGGTCCACTGTACTAACAGCATAAAAATTAATGTAAAAAAATGAAATACCAGAATAAAACAATAAAATAAAGTCATTACAAAAATGTCATGTTGATATTCAGTAGTAAGGCTCGACTTGCGTCCATTTTGACTTATGACCAGTTGGTCGGAACCAAGCTTGGTTGCGAGTCGGATGGTAGGTGTATATACAGGAGAAGGGGTTACTAGCCCCTTGCTCCTGGCATTTTAGTCACTTCTTACGACATGCATGGCTTGTGGAGGAAGAGTTCTGTTCCACTTTCCTATGGAGATAAGGGGAAAAATAAACAAGAACAAGAACTAGTAAGAAAATAGAAGAAAACCAGAAGGGTGTGGATATATTTACTTGTACATGCATGTGTAGTGTGACCTACATGTAAGTATAAGTAGAAAGACATACCTGAAATCTTGCATGTTTATGGGACAGAAAAAAGACACCAGCAATCCTACCATCATTTACAACAATTACAGGCTTTGTTTACACTCACTTGGCAGGACAGTAGTACCTTCTGAAATATCCGGGAGATTTCCTTCAAAAATAAGACTTCAAGTGATCACTCTATTGATATATAATGTACAGTACTGTGCCTTTTTTTTTGTTTAATGTGAGAGGTAAGTGGAGATGTGAGGGTGTGTAGCAAGTAGCAGCCCTCTTATCCACATAATGTACTATACACTATTACATACAAAAAATAACCCAAATGTGGCAGAAAAACTTATGACAATGTTTCAGCCCAACCTGGGACTATTTAATGGTCCAAGTCGTACCAAAATGTTGTCATAAGTTTCTCTCTCTTTATGTGCGGATTATTTGTGTATTGTCCCAGTTATGGTTTTGTGCCTCTTTCTTCTCCGTATACACTCAATTTTTTCCTGGATACATTACAGTCTTTCCTCATTTAACGACGGAGTTCTGTTCCTAAGAGTAGGTCAGTAAATAAAATATTCGTTAAGTGAGCACACTATAATGGTAGTGTGTTTGTGTCAACCATCTTTGATATTGTTTTAATGTTCCCTTGATACCATTTATAACATTTTTAGTACAGTATTTTTAAATGTTTTTTACAGTAGTGTGCTGTATATTGTAATAAACAAAACTAGAGGAATGAGTACATCATTAAGTGGGGAGAGAGACTGTATTTATACTATGTACTAAATGAAACAAACCTAGAAAACTGTAATAATTTGTATATTGCTGAAATACAAAGGAAAGTGCCCTTTTCCCCTCATATTTTTACTCCAAGCAAGAACTCGACCGATGTCCCTCAGAAAAATATCGGCCAATGAACTAGAAAAATTACAAAGCCTGAGAATTTCTTTCTTCTGGATATATAATTATGCAGTAAGTATAAAACAATTATTGAAGAGTTCTTTCAAGAGCATTTCACATTAGTTTGATTTTCAGTAACTCATTACAAGATTTAATCTTAAAACATGTTGCAAGTGTACAAATATATATACAGCATGAAGTAGAATACTCACTATGCTAGTTGCTCCATGCCAATGCCCACCAGGCGCCCAATGATGGCACCCATGGCCAGAGATGGTATAAAGAGACCACAAGGCACCTTGATTCCAAATGTAAATACTGTAACCACACACTGTTAACAAAAGAATATATATAAATAAAAATAAATGAAACACATGCAGGCATATGCCCACAAACACAGACACACACACAGGAGCTGTGACTCAATCCCTGCAACCACATACAGGTGTGTGTGACAGCACACACCAACTCCAGGTAAAGTGTATGGTAAACACACATACACACACACCAGGTAAACTGTATAGTAAACACACACATACAGGGTGAAGTGTAGGGTAAACACACACAACACAAACACACACACACACACAAACCAGGTAAATGTAAACACACACACTAGGGTAAAGTGTATGGTAAACACACACACACACACACACACACACAACACACACACCCACACCCAGGTAAACTGTAAACACACACACATACCAGGTAAAGTGTATGGTAAACACACACACACGCCAGGTAAAGTATATGGTAAATGCACACACACAGCAGGTAAACTGCAAATACACACACACACACACACACACACACCAGGTAGTGTATGGTAAATGCACACACACCGGGTAAGGTGTATGGTAAACACACACACACACCACACACACACACACACACACACACACACACACACACCAGGTAGTGTATGGTAAATGCACACACACCAGGTAAGGTGTATGGTAAAAACACACACACACACACACACACACACCAGGTAGTGTATGGTAAATGCACACACACCGGGTAAGGTGTATGGTAAAAAACACACAACCACCAGGTAGTGTATGGTAATGCACACACACCAGGTAAAGTGTAAACACACACACACACACACACACACAAAACACACACACACACACACAAAACCACACACACACCAGGTAAAGTGTATATTAAACACACACACACACACACACACCAGGTAAAGTGTATAGTAAAAACAACACACACACCACACACACACACACACACACACACAACACACACCCACTATGAAGAAAGATTAAGGGAAATCGGCCTGACGACACTGGAGGGACAGGAGGGTCAGGGGAGACATGATAACGACATATAAAATACTGCGTGGAATAGACAAGGTGGACAAAGACAGGATGTTCCAGGGAGGGGACACAGAAACAAGAGGCCACAATTGGAAGCTGAAGACACAAATGAGTCAGAGAGATAGTAGGAAGTATTTCTTCAGTCATAGAGTTGTAAGGCAGTGGAATAGCCTAGAAAATGACGCAGTGGAGGCAGGAACCATACACAGTTTTAAGACAAGGTTTGATAAAGCTCATGGAGCGGGGAGAGAGAGGGCCCAGTAGCAACCGGTGAAGAGGCGGGGCCAGGAGCTAAGACTCGACCCCTGCAACCACAAATAGGTGAGTACAAATAGGCAAGTACACTCGTGGAGGAGTCATGCGGTTTGAGCTCGTGTTTTGGTGGTAATTTCTGACTGTGTCATAAGGAATAGTGTGGGGGATATAGGCGTGTGCACGCATAAGAGTGCATATAATCACTTAAGCCCCGAAAAAAGGAAATATAAGTGATCACAGAAAAGAAAACAAAGGAAATATTGGCTGAGTGTTTAGCGGGGGCCGTTGGAAGGGTGAACGGTTGTCAGGCCTAAATAGTGTTGCCATAATAACACAGTGGGGTATTTTGAAGAATAAGTGCGACTCAAGACCAGGGAGAAAAGAGATATGTATAGATGTGTCAGTAAATACAGTGAGTGAGTGAAAAAATTAGAAGAGCTAGAGACTATAGTGCATACAGGAAGTTAGTGGAAAAATTACCGAGAAGCATCAAACTTCTTCAACTTCTGGGACAGGACTCAAGAAATCGTAATGACACGATTGCAAACAAACCATACCCCCGGCCGGGATTGAACTCCAGCCCGTCGCGTTAGCCACTAGACCAGCTAGCCACAATAAGATTCATCCAACTAGATATATTTCTACACCATAGGAAGGTTAGCACAGGCACCACAATTTGTGGTCACAGAGGTGCCTGTGCTAACCTTCCTATGGTGTAGAAATATACCTAGTTGGATGAATCTTATTGTGGCTAGCTGGTCTAGTGGCTAACGCGACGGGCTGGAGTTTTGAGACTCTATGACCGCGGGTTCAATCCCGGCCGGGGGTATGGTTTGTTTGCAATCGTGTCATTACGATTTCTTGAGTCATGTTGACGGCAGTGAAGGGACTTGAGCTAGAGTTCGTCACGGCCATGCTAGCTGGAGATTCGTCTGTAAAAACTTGCATTTGTGGTCACAGAAGTGCCTGTGCTAACCTTCCTATGGTGTAGAAATATACCTAGTTGGATGAATCTTATTGTGGCTAGCTGGTCTAGTGGCTAACGCGACGGGCTGGAGTTTTGAGACTCTATGACCGCAGGTTCAATCCCGGCTGGGGGTATGGTTGGTTTTTTCTGGGACAGGACAGACCCGCAACGTTACTCCACTGCCAGCCACAAGTAATATTCACCTAGTTTGAGTTGCATGGGGTCAATAGTACCTGTCTCTAGCTGGAATTGGGGGTCACTCTCCTCGAGCTATCAGAATTAGAATAAGCAGCATTTACTGGCATTTAATAGAATTTAGAGGTAGCGGCATATAGGCGAAGCCTAGTGTATTTATTTTTGAACGTAATTTTAAACGCATAAGACAGTACAGTGGGAACCAAGAGATCGGGTACATATACAATACATATGTAGTACATACGTGGGAAATAAGGACTGTTTACATAAACATATGCACACACACTAGGTGAGGACAGCTCTGCTGTTAGGCACTTGAATAGCTGTAGCACACACACACACACACACACACATATGCACACACACACATGCACACACACACACACACACACATATACAAGATTTTACACCTTCCTGTGAAGTGACCTATAAACCCCTTTCCCTTTCCCCCCCCCATCTCTTCCCTCTTCTCCTCTCTCTCTCTCTCTCTTTCTCTTTCTTTTTCTCTCTCTCTTTCTCTCTCTCTCTTTCTTTCTCTCTCTCTCTCTCTTTCTCTCTCTCTCTCTCTTTTTCTTTCTTTTTCTCTCTCTTTCTTTCTCTCTCTCTCTCTTCTTTCTCTCTCTCTCTCTTTCTTTCTCTCTCTCTTTCTTTTTCTTTTTTTTTTTTTTTTTTTTTACACAGGGTTTGACAGGTTAAGGATCCCTAGCTTTATTGACAGCTATTTACAGGTTAAGGATTCCTAACTTTATTGGCAAGCTAAGAGCTGTTACCTACATCAGCTCATTTGAAAGCATTTATATTGTTATGAGACATACAAGTAGGGAACAGGATGAAGTTGGAGCCATCTGTGGGCCAGCATTTTCATTTGATCAACTGACTTTATCTCGTTGACATCATTATGCTGTACGAATGTGTTCCATACTCGAGTCATCCGAGTCATCCTGGGTATGTATGATCTCAGATGGAGTGATGTTCTGGAGAAGGGTACAGCCAGAGTAAAGTTGCTGCTTTCTGCCGTCTTGTGGCATAAAGCTTGTTTCATGCTGTCCTCGAAGTGGATCCAAGTGTGGTATTTTGACAACATTGGCCTTGTACATAACAGTAAGGCCACCCACATCCCTCCTATGTTGAAGGCTCTGCTGAAATGACAGATCTATCCAGGATGGGTCCAGGCGAGAGATGAGACGTCTTGCTCTGTTCTCTACTCTGTCAAGCAGTCACAGTGAGAGGGGGGGCAGGCAAACCAAAAAAGTGGAGCATACTCAGGGTGCGAGCGTACTTGTGCCTCGTTTCAGGATCTTGCAACCCTACTGTCAAGCAGATGGGAGATACGGCGAAGTGCTGTAAGCTCCTGGCTGCCTTGTTTGCAAGATTTACAACATGGTTCGTCAGGGTTTTTTTTGGAGTCAAATTTCCCCCCCCAAAGGATTAACTTTTTCCCGGTGCCAACATCCTCCCATTCATCCTTATACTGCACCGCTTTCCATCTGGTGCCTAGAGAGATCATCTATGGTTTTTCGGTGCAAATTTTACTTGCCATTTTTTCCCCCAAGCTGATTTTGCTCCAGGGGGTGTTATGTGCTTAGAGCAGCGGGGCATTTTTTTTGGATAAGTGAAGGCAGTGTACAGCTCTGCATTGCATGTGATTCTGGGATGAGATAAAGAAGGTCTTGAAGTAGCTTCCATAAACAAGGACCCAGAACGCTTCCTTGTGGAACACTTCCCCCCAAAGGTGTCTTGCTGATTCCTTTCCCATAAAAAAATACACTTAGGTTTACCCTGAAGGTTAAACATGAGGAGACTGGTAGAGCCTGCAATTCCCCGGGTTGAAGTTTTGCAAAAAAGGCCTGGTGCCCCACCCGGTCGAAAACGCCGCAATGCCCGGTACCAACAGCTGACTTTGGATTATCATGATGGTGCCCCTTAGTGGAGAGGTTTAAAAACAGTCAGCAGCAGATTAACCCTTTTCCCGAAGCCCTTTTTGACGAAAAAAAAGAGTGAGTGGTGTCAAAAAACCCGTCATTTGTCTTGAGTTATTGTTCAAGGGTTTCCAGTGATTGACGGAGTGACACTGGTCGTAGTTGCTGATTTTGCTTGCTTTTTTTTGTGACGGGACTACATTTTCCTCTTTCCTAGAGAGGGCCCTTTACACTGTACTAGGCAGTGCTGAAGTGCGATTAGAGGTGCTGCTATGGTCTGCACTCTTTCAACAATCTTGGGCTCACTTGTTGGGCCCACGCCTTTCTTGGTCAAGCGATTTAAGTAGGAAAAGCACCTCCCCCTGCCTTATTTTCACCCCTGACAGTTTTGACACGTTTTTGCAGTAGCCCAAAGGGGGGTCCCTTCTGGATAGGACTTGCATTTTGGGGGCAAGTGGGTGTCCCATCCTGTCGATTTAGAGGTGGGAAAAAGTTATCAGGGAGATAAAACCTTGTCTGTCCTTTACGGGACCCCAGGTTTTGGAGCCTACCCCCAATGTGCTAACTTTCTTTTAGTTCCACCCCCCCATTTAGCAAAGGCCCCCTTTTTAACACACCCAAAACCCACAGGCTTGTGGCAAGTTCCGTTATGGTGGGA